TATAACCAAGTTAAAGGATAAAATCTATTTTGTCCTTTAAAAATGTAATGAATATTAATACAGAGGGGGGGAAACAACAAAACCGACCGCTGAAGGCACACTTTTGTTAGATGTCTTTTGAGTTAGTTTTTAAAAGTTTTTCTCATCTTTGTCTCCACAGTGAAAGCTGCTTTTTCAGTGCATGCAGCAGATATAAAAGTTTGTGGTTTTTATGTAGCATTGAACCAAAATCTTTTATGCCAGTAATTGCTGTCAGTATGGAGATTTTTTTTAAAAAAAGTTTGAGTACAGTAAGTATTGACTATATATAATATCAGTTGCCATCCTTTTGTTTTGCATTATGTATCTTATTGGTATGAAACTCATAAAGGGGCAATGCCAGCTGGTAAATTGGTATCCTAGGAAGAAGAGTTCTGTCCTTTTTTTCCTGTCAAATTCAGACTAAAGCTAATTCACTTCGAGAGTTTTAAATACTTCACTGACCTTTATAAAAACACACTAATAATTTAGTATTTATTCATTCACTTAAAGCATTTCTCTTTGCAATAGGGGCCAGATCCTTCAAAAGCTTATGCAAGTGATGGTCTGAGACTGTGCGAATAGTGACTTCTCCGGCGAGAGTTCTCAGAATTAGGCCGTGACTTTTTACCCAATTTTGGGCCTTTCTGAGAACCCTCATCAGTAGGAGTTGAGAACTATCTACTCCTTGCAAAAACCAAAACAAAACAAAAAAAAATCCTCTAACTACAGCATCTGATAATTTGGTCACTCTTGTAATGGTAGGATGTGGCCTCCTGTATTTGTGGTTCACTTGTCAAACTACAGGCATACTTGTGGACTTTTATAAGTTTGGCTTTATTTTTTCATCCTCAAAATGTGCCATTTTTATTGTGGTAACCTGGTAAAAAAAATTTCTTACACATTTTAATGGCTAGTGCTAATAAACAGTGATATATAGGTGCTAGAAAATATTTCAGTACACAACTGAAGTAAGAAACCAAGAATTAAAACTCATTGTCTATCACTGTTGGTGCTTATGGCCATGGCCATGGCCATGATTATCTTTACTACTGTAAGAAACCCCATTGATTTTTAATGGGACTACTGAATATAATGAATTCAGCACACTCCTAAGTATTTGCATGTCTGGTCTTTCCATTACAGAATTCCAGGGATTAAAGGATAATTTGTGTTTAATTTAACACAAGTGGTGAGAACCCGCAGCTGGTGAAGATTGGGGCTGATTTGTAGGTTTAGAGGACTTCTTCCTCCCTATTCTCCATACTTCTCTCAAATCCAGTGACATTGCTGGTCGAAAAGATTCTGAATCTAGAAGTGTTTCTCTTGAATCTTGAGATGTTACTTCATGCTTCCTTGAGCTAAATGCCAGTGCGGGAGGGAAAGAAACTGAAGAGGGCTACAGTGTTCCTTAGGGGCTCAGAATCTAAGATTGAAGTATGCATCTGTCATAAAATAAAGGGAAGGGTAACCACCTGTCTGTATACAGTGCTATAAAATCCCTCCTGGCCAGAGGCAAAACCATTTCACCTGTAAAGGGTTAAGAAGCTAAGATAACCTCACTGGTACCTGACCAAAATGACCAATGAGGAGACAAGACACTTTCAAAGCTGGGGGGGGGGGGGGGGGGGGACGACAAAGGGTGTCTGTCTCTCTGTGTGATGTTTTTGCCGGGAACAGATCAGGAATGCAGTCTCAGAAACTCTGTTAAGTTAGTAAGTAATCTAGCTAGAAATGCGTTTAGATTTCCTTTTGTTAAATGGCTGGTAAAATAAGTTATGCTGAATGGAATGTATATTCCTGTTTTTTGTGTCTTTTTGTACCGTAAGGTTTTGCCTAGAGGGATTCTCTATGTTTTGAATCTGATTACCCTGTAAGGTATTTACCATCCTGATTTTACAGAGGTGATTCTTTTATCTTTTCTTTAATTAAAATTCTTCTTTTAAGAACATGATTGATTTTTCGTTGTTCTTAAGATCCAATGGTTTGGGTCTGTGTTCACCTGTACAAATTGGTGAGGATTTTTATCAAGCCTTCCCCAGGAAAGGGGGTGTAGGGCTTGGGGGGATATTTTGGGGGAAGACGTCTCCAAGTGGGCTCTTTCACTGTTCTTTGTTCAACATGCTTGGTGGTGGCAGCATAGGGTTCAAGCACAAGGCAAAGTTTGTACCTTGGGGAAGTTTTTAATCTAAGCTGGTAAGAATAAGCTTAGGGGGTCTTTCATGCAGGTCCCCACACCTGTACCCTAGAGTTCAGAGTTGGGAAGGAACCTTGACAGCATCCCAGTAGGCAACCTCTTGAGGAGTCCTGTTTTAGAATAAATAGGGTAGCTGCTGCTTGCCTCCCTGAGGATTAAAACATTCAGAACTGTATTAGACAGAAAAAACTCAATTTATAATACCTCCCTACCCCTTCTCCAAAATAAAATAAAATTAAACTTAAATTCCCAAAGAGGGGTAGGAAAGGATTGAGATGAGTCTTTTTTCTCCTAAAAACTTGATTCCTCTTTCTCTTTCTGAGTGTCGTGGTCTCTCTCACACCATTGAAATAACTTGCCCTACAAACTCTATTGAAATGATGGAAAAGAAAGCACAGAGTGCAGTGGAATGGGGACCTGACTTTTTCTCTGAGAGAGACCCTTTTCTTTGTGATAATCCCTTTCTCCTAAACACCTGGGGTTTTAGTTTTTGTTATTTCTGTCTGCCCGCTCCCATTGGTCTTAAGATATGTCTACACTGGAACTTGAGCTGGAAATTACACCTGAAGTCCACATATCGCGAGTTCTGATTGAGCTAGAGCACTAAAGATAGATGTGTAGACACAGCAGTAAGACAGGCTAGCTAGTATGCTTCCATCCAAGATGCTAGGTAGCTACTTGGGCAGCTATCCTCTTACACTGCCATGACTACCTTTCTATTTTTAGTTAACTAGCTCAACCAGAGCTAGAGTGGGTCTGTCTACGCAAGCCAGAAATTACACCTTCCGAATCCTAAGTAGACGTAGTCTTGGCCAGATGTACCTCCTACGTCGATCAGGGCTATGGAAAATTTCATGACTTGTGCATCGTAGTTAGGTCTGCCTAACACCCTGTGTAGATGCAGCTAAGTTGAGAAGAATTCTTCCATCAACCTAGCTACTGTCTCTCAGAGAGGTGGCTTACCTACAGTGATGGAACAGGCCCTTCTGTCGATATAGGAAGTATCTACACTGTGGCACTATAGCAGCACAGCTGTAGTGATCTCATCTGCAGACTCAGTCTGAGAGCCCACAAGCGCTTGAGTGAGGGTGGTCTTCAGGCTAGGCCCCACCCACACTTGCCTCTGCGCTCTTATTTCTTGCTCATTAGAGTTGGTTGATCAGGGCTTCTCTACACTTACAGTGCTGCAGTGGCATTGACCACTGTCAGAAGAGAGGATACTGGGCTAGATAGACCATTGGTCTGACCCAGTATGGCTATTCTTATAAGTATGTATATAAGATTATTAAAAGCAGTACCAGGAAACGTTGGTTGCTAAGTTAAATATTTTGTTAGACTGCTCCGTTGTGTCCATAGCTATAATATAATGGAAAGGGCAAAAGTAGTTGAGAATTTTTCAGAAAACTTTCCCATACTCAACGTATCCCATCTTATAACACACACTCTCCTCTTTTCCCCCAAACCACCAGTTAAAAAATTATATATCAAAGGTCTTGATTATTTGAGTACTGTTATACTGAAACAACATCTATAAATGTGTTTACTCCACTCAGGAGTCTCTAGTGTTCAGGCTGGTTCATTGGTAAATTAAAAAGGCTTGCAGTTTAAGGCTTGACTGGTGCTGTGCTGATACCTAATGTAGCAACATTCAGGCTATTGGCTGAACATGTGAAACGTTTGGGATATTTAGGAAACAGAACATAAAAAGTTTATGTATAAACATTTTTCAAGTGTATTATGTTTTATATGGATGTATTTTGAACTTTAGACACTGTACAGAGTAAAGTAAATATTAATATTCAGGTGCTTGTCACAACAGTTGAAATCAGTTGATGAACTCTTGCTTTTACAGTCCATTGATTTAATCGTCTTGGAGGGGAGGAGGCAGGACATCTTCAGTTTGAGTCCATTTATTCTGACTCTTGGGACTAGAATTGCCTTTTCTCATTTTTCTGACAGAACTTGATCTTGTTTGTCCTTCTGTGAATAATGTAAAGTCTGTTTGCTCAGGCCTTTACCTGAAGGAAAATTGGGGTTTATGTCTTCACAGTTAAATTTCAAATCCCAGGGTATTGTTTTTATTTTGACATTTGCCGATTTGTTACATTTATGTATGGTATGCACTTAAGAGCTGGTGTGATGGGCACTTTTTTAATTAAAAAAGAAAGGTAAAGCTGCTTATACAAGAGTAACATAATAGGCTGATTTTGAACATGGATCTTTCCAAACTGTAGCAGTAAAATACATTGTGAGTGTGGCATGGGTTAATCGATGTATGGAAGCAGTAACCATCGTATGTAAGCACAAACATGATTGAAGGCCTTTTCTTAGTTTTTCGTTCATATCTTTTGTGAGGCCCCTTACATCTCTGTTATATTTTTTATCAGACCTAGTCTCATAATGTTTGCCTTGTTAATAAAAAATAATGTTCTTCTTAGTCTATACGCTTTTTTTATTCACAGGTGCTTTCCAGTTAACTTTTTACTGTTTGTTCAGATGACAATTAAGAGATATCCGTAACATATGTGTTAATAGAAAACTTCATATACGATAATACTCCTTGTCTTTCTTCATATAATTTCTTTTGGAATGTTCCTGTGCTTGAAAATGTTATTAACAAAGAAAGAAAAAAAGTCTTTCTTCCTTACAGTTTGTTTAATAGGATGAATATTTTGATCCCACTAATTCCCACAGTTTGCTTAGGGATTGCATAAGGAATATGTTTGATCTGTTGTTGTTTTTTTTGCTTTGTCTATGAAATTAAAAAACATATTATTTTATTTAGGAAATTTGAGAGCCCCACTCTTGAAGAGATGACGTGTAACAGTCCAGATAACTCTGAAGCTTGTGCCACACCAGATTGTGACTATGACCAAGAGATGGCTGAAGAGTACTCCAGACTGAGGACTTTTGCCAACTTTCCAAATTGTTGTCCTATTTCTGCATCAACACTAGCACGAGCTGGCTTCTTTTATACAGGAGAGGGAGACAAAGTGAAGTGCTTCAGCTGTCATGCAACTATTGAAGGGTGGGAACATGGAGACTCAGCAGTTGGAAGACATAGAAAAATTTCCCCAAAATGCAAATTTATTGCTCGATTTAATTTTTTAAAAAAAGATATGCATCCTGTTCTCCAAAACTGTCAATGCAGAGTTGAAAACTGTTCTGGAAATTCAACCCTCCAGTGCTCTTTTGACAGATCATCTGATCTCAGTGCAGATTACCTTTTGAGAACTGGGCAGGTTGTGGACATGTCAGATAGCATGTACCCCAGGAACCCTGCTATGTGCAGTGAAGAAGCTAGGTTAAAGTCTTTTCACAACTGGCCAGCCTATGCGCCATTAACACCAAAGGAGTTAGCCAGTGCTGGGCTGTATTACTCAGGTGTTGATGATCAAGTGGAGTGCTTTTGTTGTGGTGGAAAACTGAAAAACTGGGAACCTTTTGATCGAGCTTGGTCAGAACATAAGAGGCATTTTCCTAGGTGCTTTTTTGTCCTGGGCCATGATGTTGGAAATGTTGGAAGTGTCCTAAATGAATCTAATTTTGCTGAGGTTGGTAGGAGTGGCTTAAACGATGCAGATCACCCAAGAAATCCATCTATGGCAGAATATGAAGCACGGATCAAGACATTTGTGACTTGGAGATACTCAGTTGTTAAAGAGCAACTTGCTGAAGCTGGGTTCTATAGTATAGGTAAGCTAGATGGGGTTTTCACGTCTGTTTGTTTGTTGCAGCAAAATTTGTGCATGACATGATTTTGAACAGAATCTCCATTAATTTAACACTGAATGACTTGCCAAAACAAATCTTTTATTTAAGGCTTTACCTTTGTTTAACACCTTAGTCTTCAAATGCTTTTTAATTCTACGTTCACTTAACTCAAATTAGTTGTTACGACATAGCTAATACGGTATGTTCTCCTGGTTTATTATTGAAAGATGGCATGCAAAATATCAAGCATTCTTTTGGAATGATCACAATCTGAAACGTCACATCGTTCTCCTTTCTAGCAACAGAACGTTAAATAAAGGGAATATCTTAAGTAGTGACCTTTGTCTTTTAAGCCCATTTTAGGATGTATGCCAGTTCAGATTTTGGCTCTTGGACAATGACTGGCATCATTAAAAAGTTATCTTATCATATTAGAAAGAATGGAACACTGACCCGCAGCTATCCTGACCTGCCCTAAAAAGAGGAATTGTGGTCTTGTGGTTCACACACAGTGCTAGGAGCCAGGAAATCTGGGTTCTATTCCTATCTCTGCCATTATTTTTTATTTGTGTGTGAGTTGATATTGTGATAGCACCCAGAGTCTCTAGTCTAGTAACAACCCAGGATCTGTTGTGCTAGATGCTGTACAAACTCATGGAATATGTGGTCCATGCAGCAAAAAGCTTCCAGTCTTAAAAACTTAGTGTGACTTGGTCAAGCTGCTTAACCTCTCTGCATCATTTTCCCCATCTGTATAATCGGACTAATTACATATTAGGCTTAATTAATCAATATTGGAAAGTCACTTTGAAATCCTTGGATGGAAGGTAAATGCAAAGTAGTACTATTGTTCAGCAAGAAAAGGGATTACCAAGGATAATTTCTAGCTTTCTCACCATATTTGATTCTCTTTTTTGTGCTCTTACAGCACTGACTTTCTAATTTGTTTTCTCTTGGTTTCTTCCTACCCCCTCTGGCCCCCAAATAAAACTTTTGATGTTTTGTTGTACATTCTTGCACAAAATGAATACATTCATAACTAGTAGTGACATTTATATCATCTGTGGGATCCCCCCAAAAATCTAGCTGCTCAACAGCCAAATGGGATCTGTATTGGAAAGACATGCAAAATAGGTAGCTTATCCAACCAGCTGGTTAACTGTTAGAGTAAATTCCAAGAGCTGCGTCCTTCCTATTGGCTGAGAAGGACTTAATTTCGGTGGGAGAAATCTATCCATATCTCCTCTCATTGCAATACACTTAATATGTAAGCAGCTTCTGATGTAGTCTTTGATTGTAATGTGCACTGTGCTGCTATAGCTCAGAAAATTTAATTTCCTTCCACATCCTCTTCATCTTGGTCACTGCTGTTCAGAGCCTATTAGTCTTGACTGGTGAAACCAATGACCAAAAAGGCAAATAAGTAAATGTCCTTGTGAATTAGGTTTCTGTTAATTAATTCCATTCTTGTTTAAGGGGAACTGAGACTTAGTACAGAGAAGACTGATCAAAAACATAAAAGAAATTGTGTCAGAAACTTTTTGCCTCAGAAACTTTGTGGTAGTGGTTTTTATAGCCTACTTAACAATTGGACACACTCACAAGAAGTTATTGGTAATAGACTTGTAAGCAAATAGAAGCATTTTTGATCTCTCTATAATGCCAAATACAATTGAGTAAAGCAGTATTTGTGTAAGCTTGGTTCTTTAATTTTTTATTAAAGTGGAAATAGTCCAAGAAGCTACTTCGTTTTTCTTACCATATGTCACAGATTACATTGACATCTAGTTTCAAATAATCCTTTTTATTCTTAGAAGCTCATTATTAAAAGCACCAAAAATGTGTCAATTTATCAGTAACAAGACTTGCTGAAGCTTTTTTTCTCAGTTGTAAGAACAAATATTTGCATATTCAGCCTTTTATTTGACAAGTATACAACATCACACTTACTTGCCCCCTTAGGTAATGGTGATCATGTTTTGTGCTTTCACTGTGGTGGAGGACTGCAAGAGTGGCAGCAGAATGAAGACCCTTGGGAGCAACATGCTAAATGGTTTCCAGGGTAAGGTACTTTTTACTGTATTGTTGTGCACACTTCCATTTACAGTATGTTGCATCTGCAACAAAAGGAGAATGTATTAACATGACCTCAGAAGGCTCAGTTTGGCTAAGCATTCAGTGGTTTGGATGCTTATCCAAATAATTTGAAATGGTTGAGATGCCCTTCTCACCATCACCTCCGTGTCCTCACTAACTTTGTTGTGGAGAGGCAACTCTCTTATAGCAGCAGTAAGAGTCTTCATGGGTGGCTGTGTTTCTTCTCATCCGTAGGAAGCATGGCTTTCAAGGTGCCCTGTAGTGAGGCCCATTTGCTCCCACTCACAGCATATTCTTGGAGAGAAGAGTCTTTGCTTATGTTATAAGCATTATGTGCAGCTGTGATATTATATTGGGAGTGAGCTATGTAGAAGTCTCAAGAGAAGACAAACTGCTTTATGCAGCACACTTACACTTAAAAATAAAGGCCTAAATTTTCAAAAGTGAGTAGCGATTTTGGGGTGTCGCAATTTTTTGGTGGCCAACATGACACCATAAAGAGACCTGTTTTTTTCAAAGAGCACATTATTTTTTCCTTTTGAAAATGAAGCCCTCTTAAGATGTCTTGAATATAAACTATATTTCTCTCTCCAGTCGTCCCTTTCCAGGTGTTTGGGTATAGTTCTTCCCTGCTGGCAAATAGACCAGTGTTCATTGAGACATTGATGTGATCCTCCATTTGCTGGCTTCCAGAGTTCACTTGTTTCGATCTCCATCATGAGCATCCTGCTAATTCTGGCTGAGGAGAGAGGCCTGACCAAAGGAGAAAGCGGTATAGACCTGAACACTGGTGTGCAGAAGCCTTTGCAACAGACTGAACAGAGCAGCTCTAGGAGGATTTTTAGCTTCTGCTGCAGCATATGAAACACTAAGAGCTTGTGGTCTCTCAGGCTATGTCTATGCTACGGACCTTACAGCGACAGAGCTGTACCGCTGCAGCTGCGCTGCTGTAAGGTCTCATATGTAACTGTTCTATGCCGCCAACATAATTAAACCACCGTCAATGAGCCGCGGTAGCTGTGTCAGCGGGAAAGTGTCTCCTGCCGACATAGCGCTGTCCACACTGGTGCTTTTGTCGGTGAAATTTGTTGGTTGGGTGTGTTTTTTTTCACACTCCTGACCAACAAAAGTGCTAATGTAGACAGAGCCTCAGTCCCAGGTACCAACACTCCAAACCTTGCAGTAATATAGCATGGCTGTGTCACTCACACAGTTTAGGAAATATGCTCATGCCACCAGAATTTCACACTCCAAGCAGACTCCTTCAGTGGGTTCCTCCTGAGCCTTCTCATGGGGAATTAAAGGACTGGGTGATTTTTAAAAAAACAAAAAGATAAGAGGGATCCAGATGTTACCTTGTTTAGTTTCGGTCCTGCCACTTACGTGTGATGCCACTTAAGACTTCTAGATCTACGGCAGCCTCAACAGCAACCAGAAAGTCACTAAGGTTTGAAGTAATGGTTAGTCTACCAAACATCAGAGCCTCTTGCCTTTTCTTTCAAAGGGGGACACCTCATCAGACTAGAGCACCAGGGAATTCAACAGTTCCTGCAAATAGAAAGAACTTCAGGTATCCTCACCATAAACTATCTAGGCTACAGTTTCTGTCTCTGTTCCTAGGAATAGATTTATACAGCTCAGATCATATTGCTGGGGAGAATGGCCATAGTTTGTCAAGAGAGGATCCTTCAACAAGAATAAATCCTTCCGCGTCTCAGAGCACATACGGAGCTGAATGCTACTGCCTCCTTCAAGCAATTATAACATGCTTGCCCCCAGTCTCCTGGACTTAATTGGAGGAAGAACACTCTGCTTCTTCAGTGAATAAGCCCATACAGTATCATCAGTGGCAGTTCCTGCAGTTATAGAAGAAAATTTAGTTTGACTTTTCAACAATTTCTTTTTCTTACACCAACCCAGTCCTGGTTTTAGAAAAGTAAATTAATTCCTTAGAGGATTGTTTCCCAATGGAGTCTTTGAGGAGTTAGCTCAAGTTGAATTCCTTTATTCATTGGATCTATCTCCATATGTTAATCTTATGCTTTCCTTCCTGCTTTCTTTGTTTTGCACCCCTGGCTCCCAGACCATTGTTCAAATACATTTTTCCTTTCTGGCTCATGATAGGTAAGGTGCTTGTGAAGGGGTGTGACCTACCATGCTAGCACCTTCTGCTGGTTGTCTTGCGGATCAGCTCCACAGGTCGGTACGCTTGACTCCTGGTGGTGTCTTGCCCACCGTCACTTATGGTCCTGGATCCGTGTTGTTCCAAGGACCATGACATCCTCTTTAGGACACAGCCCTCTGGCTGTACCACACTCTGTGCTCCCCCTTTCCGGGGGGACAGTACCACAGTCCAATGGTCCAGCCACTTCCTCAGTGGGGGAGGGAGGGACCCGGGTTCTGGTCCAGGGACCCTGTAGATAACAGCCCCACACTGCGTCCCCTCCAACCTCTCAGTCTATTTCCCTGGGCCAGTTCCCAGCGGCCCCAGTACCTTCTTTGTTCGTGCCTCAGGGCCTCAGTCTGCAACTCCCAGCCAGGAGCTCTTCCCTAGCTCCCTGGTCCCTGCTAGCAGCACTGTTCTGTCCAGGGTGCTGGCTTTCTTCTGCATGCAAGGCAGCCAGTTGTCCCTCCTTGAGCTCCAGGAAGCAACTGAACCTGCTCTTTCCTGCAGCTCTTCTTATATGGGCATGCCAGACCCTATTGGCTGCTCCTTGCAGCCCCTCTCCTGTCGGCTGCTTTCTGTGCTGCCTCCCTAGGGCTCCATTAACTATTTACATGCCAATGTGGGGTGGATGCCTCATCACAGGCTATAAACAATAGCCAGATTGTTCATCATTTGTGTCTAGAATTGACCAATATTGTACTGGTACCCATAACTGACAGATATCAACAGAAGAGCGGATCCACCTTCTAAAAACAGGTGATCTGTCAACCCAGGACTTGATTTTTATTTCATTTTTACGAACTTTGAAAATGCAGGTCGTTAGAAGGTCTTTTTGGTAAAGATCATCACAACTACAATATGTTCTTGCGGGTAGTCCAAAACCAGTTAGGATGCTAGGATTTGGGGGAACAGTTTCTCACTGTTTTGACAGATGACTCATGAGCTTAATGTTGATATACTGAAATTTCTTCAAAATGATCTGGACGTGGTGCATTCATCAGCAGTATCCACCTATTAAGTACACAGGTTATCTCTTGGAGTTAATCCATGCACAATTAGATTCAGCAGGGTGGTCAACAATCTAGACTGCCAACACCATCTGAGAGACTGAATTACTCTTCTCCCACCTTATTAATTCCTGTGGCCATCAACACCAAAAGAGGTCCACTCTCAGCGATAAGGACTGAAAGTGTTTAGACTTTTTTGGGAGGAAAGCATACTTCTCGGCTAATGCTTTGGTTTTGAATTGCTAATTACCAAGCTCTGATGGTGAAATAAGACTACTTAACCTATTTGGAACTGAGCAATTTTATTGAGCAGCTTCCTGAGTCACACCATGACCATTTTAAGGAGATGGAAAGAGGGAAAGTTAGTGGACAAGACAACACTACAATCTGCCCTCGACACAGTGGCAAGGTCCATATCCGTGGCCGAGGTGATGCAACATGCGTCATGGCTCTATCTATCAGGCTTCCTGAAGGAGATACAATCAACTGTTGAAGACCTTCCCTTTGAAAACATTGAGTTCTTCACAGAGAAGACTGATGCCTCTCTTCACACCCTGAAGGATTCTAGGGCCATTCTCCATTCGCTGGGTGTCTACATGCCAGGACAAAAGAGAAAATTCAGTCCACCGTGCTAGCACAAACAACTCACATACCTATATTTGGCTCAGCGTTACTGCAAGCTACAGAGAAAGAAAAATAAATTTTGAGGCATAACCCATCTGGCTTGCAGTCTTCGCTGTCTATATCCAAGCACCACTTTTGAAGTGTTGGTTGAGGCATCAGACCACTCCCACCAACTGCTACAGCTGACCAGCGTTATACATCCATTTGGCTACCATTGTATATAATATTGTAATGGGTACTCTATTAATTTTACTTCCCTTCTCCATCTCTCTTCAGGGACCCTTCTCATGAGAGTTTACTATGATGAGGTAGATCGTCTCTTCTAATTAGGAGCCATAGAACCAGTACCTCAACATCTACGAGGCAAAGGTTCTACTCTTGCTATTTTCTAATACCCAAGAGGAAGGGGGGTTGGAGACCCATACTAGACCTCAGCTCTCAACACGTTTGTCAAGGCTCAAAAATTCAAGATGGTCACTCTAGCAACGATCATTCCAGCATTGGAACAGGGAGACTGTTTTTTGGCCGTCGACCTTTAGGACGCCTGTTTCCATATCTCAATCCTACCGACTCTCAGACTATGTTCCTCAGATTCACTCTGGGTTAAGACCACTACGGATACAGGGTACTCTACATTGGGCTATCGTCGGCCCTGAGAGTCTTTTCCAAGGTTCTCTCAGTAGTGGCTGCACACTTTCGCTCCTAGGGGATCATGATTTACCCTTATCTGGATGATTGCCTCCTCAGAGCCGTCTCTCCAAGAGGCCCGCCAAGTCACCAAAGCTACAATGCACTTGCTCACAGACCCGGGGCCCATGGAAAAATGCCCAAAAATCAACCCTAGTTCCAGTGCAACATCTGGAATTCATAGGTGCCATTCTCAACTCATTACAGGCCAGCGCTCTCCTACCTAAACACAGATTCCTCTCCCTGGCCATGCTCATAGAGACAGTTCAAAGGAGCCCGCAAATATCAGTCAAACACTGCCTCCAACTTTTGGGGCATATGGCAGCAGGCACAGCGGTAATACCTCATGTCAGGCTTCATGTGCGATGCCTCCAGATGTAGTTCAGCTCAGTTTACAGACCAAACAGGGACAGACTCAACAAATCCCTGTCACTGCCCACCAGGATCAAAAACTCCTTGGTGGAAAGAACCAGACAATGTTTGCAAAGGGATCCCCTTCTCGCAAACCCATGCATCATTGCCTCTCACCACTGACACATTGCTCATAGGGTGGGGCGCGCATCTAAATGACCTCATGACACAACGCAAGTGATCACTCACAGAAATATCCTTTCACATCAACCTCCTTGAGCTAAGGGTGGTCAGGAATGCCTGTACCCATTTCCTCCAGCTGATCACACACGAAAGTCCTAACAGACAACATAGCTTGTACGTAGTACATACAAGGGGGAGCTAGGTTGCCCTCCTTCTGTGTGGAAGCAATGAGATGACGGAACTGATGTATCTCCCATGGCATCACACTGTCGGCACGCTACTTCCCAGGCACATAAAACTCGATAGTGTACAGTCTCTCAGTTGCAAATTCCCACATGACCACGAGTGGGAGATAAACCTAGTAGTATTTCACGATCTATTCAGGTGGCGTGGGGACACCGACCATGGACCTGTTCACCACTTACCTGAACAGGAAATGTCCTATCCCTGCTCTGGAGCAGTAGCATGGAAAACACTCCCTGGGCAATGCTCTCCTCCTCCTCCCCAGGGACAGGAACCTTTTCCCCTGCTGTCAAAAGTCCTGCTCAAAATGAAGAGGCTGAGCAGATGTCTTACTGATTACTCCCACTTGACCGAGACAGACTTGGTACTCTTACCTGTCACAGCTCACAACATGCCCACTGAGATCTCTCCAGTCCACCCCAGGCCCCTTTTACAGAATGAAGGACACACCCTACATCCCAATATGGGGATTCTTTGCCTCAAGATATGGCTCCTTGATGGTTCCAACACCTAGAAAGCTCTGCTCAAAGGAGGTACAGGAGGTATTATTACACAGTAGAAAGTCCTGGACACGCCATACATCCCTGCAAAAATTGTCCAGGTTCTGGATTTGGAGTATTTCCCAACAAATTTCCCTGACATTCATCGCTCTTCCACAAATCTTAGACTATATTCTAACCCTAAAAAAATCATGAGTATCTTAAAGCTCTCTGAGTCCACCTATCGGCTATAACAGCCTTCCACCAACCAGTAGAGGGATACTCAGTGCTATCACACCTGACCACTAAAAGATTCCTCAAAAGGGATAATAAACCTCTTCCCACAACCCTGACTTCCTACCCTCATATGGAACCTAAACCTGGTACTGAAAGAACTGACTTGGCCTCCCTTCGAACCCATGGCTACCTGTTCACTTACATACCTCTCAATGAAAACAGCTTCCTGATAGCAATCACCTCGTCTAGGAGAATAGGGGAAATAGCGGCTCTGATGGCACGTTCCCCTACATGGTATTCTTTTGGGACAAGGTTATGCTCAGGCCTCACCCAAAATTCATCCATGAGGTAACCCCCCTGTTTCACGTGAACCAGTTGATTCACTTTCCAACCTTTTACCCCAAGTTTCACTGAGACAACAGGAAGGCTATATTACTCATACTAGATGTCAGATGAGCCCTTGCCTCCTACCTAGATAGGACAAAGGCTTCCAGGAAGTCTCCCAAGCTTTGCCTTGCCATTGTGAGACGATCCAGGGGCTCAGTAATGTTGGTCCAGGGACTCTATAAATGGGTCTCGAAGTGTATTAGACAATGTTATCGGGGTCGTAATATGACCCCTCCAGATACTATTTGTACACTCTCCATGAGGTCGATCTCCTCATCTGTCGCCTTCTTTAAGAATGTCCCTATCTTGGAGATCTGTAGAGTGATGACATGGCTGGCTGTCCACACCTTCGTAGAACGTTATGCCATCAGTGGGGACACTGCCTCCGATGCCCTCTTCGGCTCCACAGTACTGTCATCTGTAACTGACCCAACTCCAAAATCCAGCCCGCCAATAGGGATACTGTTCTGGAGTCACCTACAGTGAAGTACCCATAGGGACATAAAGAAGGAGGAAGTTACTCACCTTGTGCAGTAACAATGGTTCTTCGAGAGGTCTGTCCCTATGGGTGCTCCACAGCCCACCCTCCTCCTCCTACTTCGGAGTTCTTGTTAATGTCTCTATGGTAGAGAAGGTACTAAGGGGGTTAGCCGTGCACTCTGACTAGCCTCATGGCAAGCCACGAGGAGAAACCGTGTATGTGCTGGCCTAATAGACACTGCTACTGAAGTTGTCCAATCAGCAGCACCAGGACGTAAGCATACCTACGGTGGAGCACCCAGAGGGGGATACATCTCGAAGAACCATTGTTACTGCACAAGGTGAGTAAATTATTCTTACGTTTGAGTTTCAAGATCTCAGTTATGGGATGTAATTCATATATTAACTGCTTTTGGAAAGTCAGCTAAACTCTTCAGAGCCAGCAAACCATTATCAAGAATTTTCTGTGTCTATCAAGAATTCTCATTATCGAGAATTATCCATTGTACTGTCTCCGTCAGTTGGCAGAGAGGAGCTATACCCAAGTGCTTGGAGTGGCATAAAAGATATTGAAAAGAGGGATAGAACAGGTAAGGAAAATGTCTATTTGTCCATGACTGTGGTTCATTGCTTACAAAAAGATTAAAAAAGAGTTGATATTTAAAAGTTATATTGTATTTCCTTGTTTGCAAAGTTTGTTTTTCTTTTATAAACCAGTGATTGTGGCTACCATGGCCAGTGAATGTAAAGTTTTGTGATTCCAATTGCTGAAAGTCCATGACAAATAAACATTGTTGATGAAGCTCACTTCCTTTTGCTATCAGAATGTTATTTAAAATGTTTAAATGACATCTATGATTCCAGTTACATTTTCAGAGAAAGAACTTCAAGAGCAGAAATATTCTTTGAAATGCAGAATTACCCAAATTCTTCTGAAAATTGTGTGTTCAGCTTTGTTTATTTTCCCATGTGTACAATGCTTTTTGTAATTTAAAATCTTTTGTGACTATAGATGCAAATACCTGCTACAAGAGAAGGGCCAAGAATTTGTAAACAGTGTTCAGTTAACGCCTTTACCGAGGGATTCCATGGTAAGTTGTCTTTTTTACCATCTACTGTTTTAGTTTCCCTAGAGAAATAACTTTTAATTACAGATAACATTGTATAACTTCACATTTTTTGTGAAATCAATTTATCATGTGAATACAGAATATATCTAGTGATAGTATATAGTTTTTAACCTGCTTTGATCATCAACAGGAAGCGGAAGGGATTCAATTACAGTGTAGCAATATGATTAGGGCACTTCCAAATTCATGGCTGTAAAACATGCATCACAGACTCTGAAATCTGATCTCCCCCATGAAATCTGGCTATTGTAGGAAAGGGGCAGGGCTGGGGCTGCCCCAGCCAGGGCTTCCTACCATGTGCTGAGCTCTCGCTGCTGGGCCCAGCCCAGGTTGGGAAGGGACAGGACTTCTTTTTCCCCTGCAGATGCTGCTCCCGGAGCCACGTCAGACCCTCCTCTGGGAACCTTCCCCAGCTACAAAAAGCCCGTGACCTGGGTGTATGGTAATCCACCCCCTCAAATCCTGCAACACTCCTGTGCTGGAAGCGGTACAAGCTTTAGATCAGTGGTGGGCAACCTGCGGCCTGTCAGGGTAATCCGCTGGTGGACCGTGAGACAGTGTTTACATTGACCATCCACAGGCATGGCTGCCTGCAGCTCCCAGTGGCCGCAGTTCGCCATTCCCGGCAAATGGGAGCTGCGGGAAGCGGCACAGGACGCAGGGATGTCCAGGGAGACTTCAGCTCTATGCAACACCCGTGTCCTTTAGTCTATAAGCATTTTCCCACCACCAGTGTCCAACTATATACAATTCTTAAAGATTTCTCACCTACCACAGGCTGGGTCAGTAACCACCTCCCTGTCTGACTGACCTCTCTCTCTGGCTGCCTCCCTCCTTTTGGCTCCTTCCCAGCCTTTGTAGCTCCTGCCTATCAGTGTAGCAGGTGTTGCCAATCGCAAAGCAGACATAAAACTTTTCATCCAGCTCCAATCTATCCCCCTTGATTGTGGCAGGGGCTGATTAGGTGTGTTTGCAGCAGCACCCTGCCACAAACACCCAAAGCATGGTGTTACATTCCTCACCATCTTGGTGAATAGCCATTGATGGACCCGTTCTCCATGAACTTTCTAATCTTTTTTTTGAACTCAGTTATACTTTTGGCTTTCACAACATCACCTGGCAATGGATTCTACAGGGATGACTGTTGCATGAAGAAGTACTTCCTTTTCTTTGTATTAAACCTGCAACCTATTAATTTCATTGCATGACCCCTAGTTCTTGTGTTATGTGAAGGAGTAAATAACACTTCCTTATTCGCTTCTATCAAATCGTGAGTGGTGTGAAGGACCTCTATAATATCCCACCTTGGTTGTCTCTTTTTCAAGCTGAATAGTCCCTCTCTTCTTAATCTTGCCTCATATGGAAGCTGTTCCTTATGCTTAATCTTTTTGTTGTTGGTTTTTTTTTGCCCTTCTCTGTACCTTTTCCAATTCTAATATATCTTTTTTGAGATGGGGTGACACAAACTGCACACAATATTCAGAAGTGTGGGTGTACCATGGATTTATGTAGTGGCATTATGATATTTACTGTCTTATTAGCTATCTCTTTTCTAATGGTTCCTAACATTGTTAGCTTTTTTGACTGCCGCTGCACATTGAGCCAATGTTTTTAGAGAACTGTCCACAATGACTCCACAGTCTTTTTCTTGAGTGATTACAGCTAATTTAGACCCCATCGTTCTGTATGTATAGTTGGGATTATATTTTCCAATATGCATTACTTCACATTTATCAACACTGCCATTTTGTTGCCTAGTTTTGTGAGATCCCTTCGTGACGCCTCACAGTCGGCTTTGGATTTAGCTATCTTGAGTAATTTTATATTCTCTGCAAATTTTGCCAACTCACTGTTGACCCCTTTTTCAAGATCATTTATGAATGTTGAAGTGATCGTATACATATGGCTTATTACAGGATGATTTGAGATTTGTCCATATTGTTTATGACAGAATGGTTTGGTTCTACCACCACTGGCTGCTTAGGCAAATTACTTCTGCTTTCTGTGCCTCAGTTTCTTCATGTGTAAAGTGGGGATTATGACAGTGACCTCCTTTATAAAGTGCTCTGAGAGTGGTTGATGAAAAGTGCTGTATAAGAACTAGGTGGTATTATTTAAGTGTTTCCAATCCTGTTGAAGGAGATGACTAATAAAAGACTGGATTCCTATTGAATCACATCTGAGTCATGGTGTCACACTCAGCATGATGAATAGCAAAAGCCTTTTTCTTACCCTTTCCTTACCGCTGTTTAGAAATTTTTCTTTGGTTGCAGGGGACTTAATCTAAGTTTATATTTCTGTTTTAGATAGAAGCTTCTGAGAAGACATCACTACTTATAGGTATCAGTAAAACAGTTACATTTATGTGTCCTTAGTTTGCCTTCCTCACCAGGTTCTGTTGTTGTGGCTTATGTTTGTGGGGAGAATGAAAGAAATGGCTAATTTTGAAGGTGACCCTACTATGCTTTATATAGGAAAAGGGAAGCTAACTCATTAAATTACGCTCTTCTTTTACGTCCTTCCTTCCAAACACTTAAATAATAAGCACAACATATGGATGAACTGCTGAACAGATAATGTAATTTGGGAGCCAGAGTGTAAATTTATCACTTCATTAACCTGAAGGTAAAAAAATCAATGAATAAATTCTAACCTTGATAGGGGGAAAAAACCTAGTGTTTTGCGAGTGGCCAAATACGGGGGGGTGTTTGTGTGTGTGTGTTAAAAGGTGTAGACCACAGTAGAAGTAAATTTAATGTATAGTTACACCTCTATATCTTTATGGCCAGTAAGTACACTTTACAATTACTAAGTTGTTAAGGAGGACTTGTGGCACCTTAGAGACTAACCAATTTATTTGAGCATAAGCTTTCGTGAGCTACAGCATCCGATGAAGTGAGCTGTAGCTCACAAAAGCTTATGGTCAAATAAATTGGTTAGTCTCTAAGGTGCCACAAGTCCTCCTTTTCTTTTTGAGATGTTAAGAGTATAGGAAGAATATCAGGGAATGCCGAAAGTGTTTGGGTCTCTCCTTGAATGAAAATGCTGTCACAAAAATACTTGGGAAGGCTTAAATAAGAGCCTAATTGTCTCTCATATCTGTATGAGAGGTTCTAGCACTCTTTCTTATAAACATAAAACAAAAAAGTGAGAAAATAGTGATGAGTATAGCAGCAGGATTATCTTACAGCTACTTAAAAATATTTAGTTGGTAGGAAAACATATCTACCATTGATACGCAGTGATTCCACAACAACTTAGATTTATAAAATATTCTGGGGGATAATGACAGGTTTCAGAGTAGCAGCCGTGTTAGTCTGTATTCGCAAAAAGAAAAGGAGTACTTGTGGTCTCTAAGGTGCCACAAGTACTCCTTTTCTTTCTGGGGGATAAGTGTCTCTAAGTATATTCACATATGAGAGAGCTCTAGTTTCACTGCAAGCAGTTTTGCCAAGGAAAAAGGAACTGAGTAACCCTTAAATGTAGTCAAAATGAGTGGAAATAGCGAATACCTTGCGAATAAACCTAAGCAAAGAATTCCACTGTGAAGGAAAGGGGAGGCATAATGGTAGAAAAATAATTTCCTACTGTTATATGTGTATCTGATAAGACAGGGAGGCACACATTACAGTACTATTGATTGTACTGCATTTTGGTTTTGTAACCTTAATAAATTGGCAAGTTGCTTATAGTCTGGGTATCGGTGGGTTATATTTTTTATAAATTGAAAGAAAGTATATTAAACAAACCTTTACCTGTACTTAAGGATTTAAGCTAAATTATAAAGATAATTTGGATCCAAGTGTGGTGAGATCTATGATTACTGCTACGTGAGGAAACATTCTGTGTAAAAAGATATAGTGAACATTTCCGTTGACAGAGTGATCTGAATGGATAAAATCTAGGAGTCTTTGTAATATAAGTAGGGTGGCCAGTGGAAGGGTTGGGAATATAGGAAATCTGGGGGGTGTCCTAGTTGTTTGATGTTTGATTTATATTTCACAGTGCATAAATCAGCAGTCAGAAATTTAATTGTCTAACTTTTGGTTAAGTGTTATAAAGTTCTTTAAAAAATTTCAGTGAACACTGCTGACTATTTCTAATTTGCTCTTGGTTAAACTGATTTTTCCCTCAATGTTTGTTAAAGATGATGATCTCCTGCAAAACCAGTTGGTACAGGATGCCATGCGTATGGGTTTCAGTTTGTCTGAGATTAAGAACATTATGGAGAAGAAACTGCAGACATATGGAGAAAACTACACATCTGTTGAAGTTCTAGTTTCAGATATAATAAATGCTCAAAAAGAAAACGTACAAGAAGAAGTAACCAGTGAGAGATCACTACCGAAAGGTGAATTTTTTAAAATTACAAGATATAGATGCAAAAGATTATAACAGATTGTATTAAATATCTTATTGGTATATTTCCGTTGCCATCTTTGCGTAACACAAAATTAATGCATGTAATATGTGTCATTTTTCGAGAATTCAATAGGGTAATCATATACACAACTACTTCAAACAAAAAAAAAATTTACATTTTATTTAACCAGCAGCATTTAAGAATATTCTGCTTTATGTTAAAAAGAGCCGCCTACCACTGATGCTACAATAATGTATAGTATTAGAGATGCTGTCTACCTGAAATCTAGCCACTTTCAAAAATGTATTAAAAGTAGTTTCAGATTCTATCCCTACTCCCAAATTCCTTTGCCAATATTTGTGCTTTTATTATCACTTGTTTTTTTTTAAATATGTCAAGTCTTCATCCCCTCCCTCTCCTGCTGGGGTGAGTATTTCTCATAGTAGATGGGAAACGACTGTACAGGAGAACTACGAAATAGACTATACACAAAGTGCTGTCAAATGTCCAGGATAAATAAATGGCAAAAATAAAGAGAACCTCTAGTTTCCTCTAATCTTTCTGTTATAAAACTCTGAAAGGTTAATTAATAAAATATTTTTACAAGTATTGTAGCCTACAAACCTTGGTCATGGCCCAAGACCCCACTGTGCCAGGTGCTGTACAAACACAGAACAAAAATATGGTCTGTTCCAAAGACCTTACAATCTGAGTATAAGACAACAGATGGAGGAAACAATGAGACAATAGTGGTCAGCATGTTACACTGTTATATTAGTGCACGAGTGGCCTAGATGCTGTCAGGTTTTTTTGTAGGCATCACAACAAAAGAGTTTTAAGGAGCATTTTGCATTAAGGATAATGCATTAGTTTTGCGGACATTATGGGGAGCTTCTCCCAAGCATGGGGACAGCATTCCAGACAAAAGCAGTTTTTTTTTTCCAAGTAGCACACAGTTTTATAATACAGAACTAAAATAGCATGTATAGTTAATCCTTTTGGCAGTACAACTTTTTAAATTAACTCTTAAAACAGTTACTCTTTGGTGCCTATAACAAAACCAAATAAAAACAATTTTCTCTGCCTATCTTTAGTTGAATAAAAAATTCTACTTAGGAAATATTTTACACAACACATGACACCTTTTTTCCTATTTAAATTTTCGGGGGAGCAGGGGAGGTGTCAATGTGATATGTTAGCTTTTTTCAGCACTCTGTATTCTTTCCTTTTGTGAACTGGAGTTCCCTATTCCCCATTCTGCTCCCTATGCATAGCATTACAATGTAGTCTTACTAATATTTCTCAAATAACACAACAGAATATAATATTTTTTCTACAACTCTAGGCACATATTGTAAGGTATGAATACATACATATATGCACCTACATTTAAAGACTTAGACATTTTAGGCTAGCTTGGTGTCTGGGAGTAAGGAGAGCAACGGTGACTTTAAGGAGGCCTGATGGCTGCTCTGACTGAGGACTGGTGCCCATGGCCCAAGCTGGGAATCAGTCAAGTAATAGCAGCATCCCAACCATAGACTCTAATTATCAGGCAGAAGCAGAGTGGTGTAGAAACCAAAATGCCAGTCCTGTGTCATGGAGGATTCCCCCTATGCAGAGACTTTCCTCTGCTCTGATCCACTGAGTTTGTGCCAGTTCACTGAGACAAAGGGGTTATAAAATGAACACAATATGGCTAGGAATCTGGCTCTTTTGTGTTATGATATGATGACCTACAGTTCATGGCAATTTATCCGGTCGGCAATGCTGATGGGCCCCCTCTACGTAATGAGTGTCTTTCTCTTTCCTGACAAGTGTTTGCAGGCAGCTGCCAATGGGAAGCCCATGTGAAAAGCTTCTGCAGATAGTTCTAGATCTGTATATAGAGAGGGTTAAACTCCCATCTTTCTCCACTGTGGGGAGCATAATCTCTCTCCCACCATGTGGAATGATGAGGAGGAGAGTACAGATTGTAGGGTTTGTAGTCTCTAACATGTTTTTTTCTTGTTTAGGGGATGATTTATTCCTGTCATACCAAGAAAACTTAGTTTGTATGGGGAAGGTAGTTTAAGAGATTAGCTACTTTTATTAAGTATGTTAACTTGTTCCGTGTGTTTCCCTTTTCCTCAGATCTGAGTACTGAAGAGAAGTTAAGACGTTTACAGGAGGAAAAGATGTGTAAAATTTGTATGGCTAAAGACATCTCAGTAGCTTTTATTCCCTGCGGCCATCTGGTTGCTTGTAAAGAATGTGCTGAAGCAGTTGATAAATGCCCTGTGTGTTGTATGGTTATTACAAAAAGACAGAAAATATTTATGTATTAGTCATATGTACAGTGCTGTTTGTGCAAATGTTTGCTGTTACATTGTTTAAAATCACTGTAATGCAATAACAAACAGTTGGGATGTTCAGCACTGTAGCACACAAATATATTTATGGAGAGTCTAAAGTTTTGGGATAATAAAAACAAAGCTTTAGTCAGTGCCCTAAAAGCTCATGAACTGACAGTCAGAAGCTGCTAAATTTGTGCTTATAGCTCTCACATTCAACTGCAACCTCTATTCCTCTCCAGTTTGTCCCTTCACTTTAATTGAAGTGACACACAAGAAATTCTTCCCTACGACATTCTCATATTTTATATATGTCTGAATATGCACACCTTTCTCATTTATTGTAAAGTGCATAAATTAAGTATATTATTCACTCGTATACAATAGCATGGGCAAACTGAGTGATCTGACTACAAGCTGTGCTGCTAATAACATTATAGGTTGGAATTTGTCATCTGATCTCACTCTTTACCTCTGACTCTGCCAAGTTTTCAGAAAGGATATGGGTAATAAGCTATAAAACAAACAAACAAAAAAATCCAGCCATGTTTTTGTTAAATAAAATTTTAGCAAGATTAATATTATTCAAAACTAGAATAGTAAAGTTTAGCATCTGTTGAAGAAGGCAGATGTTTGTGGGTTCAGGAATGGTGACATTTTAGTGAGAGAAATAAATAGCTAAAAGTTTATGTAGTTTTGTTTTTATGTTGATTATTTTAGTGACTGTCTAATCTCTTAAACAGGGTTAAGCCCCTTTCTAACTCAGTAAAACATTAATCAGTTACACACATTACTTTTCTTATAGGGAAAATGGCATCTTTTAAAATCCCCTGACCTTTTCTAAACCACTAAAACGTACAAATTATTTAAAAATTATTCACATGACAGAAAAATTAAAAAAATCATCCATATGTTTCTCTTCTCTTTTAAACAGTTTCCCCTTCCAAGCATACATTAGTCTTCCCGAGTCCAGTACAGTATGTATTTTAAAAATTGACTAATTTCACTTCTACCTTTCATTTCAACTAATTATATTCTTGTCATTTACATATCAGAGTTACATTCCAGCATCAATGTTTAACTTACACTAAGTCCATTTATTTCTCTATCTCAGACTGCCTTAAGGCTGATCTTTTCTAGCCCCAAAACTAAAAGGATTCTTAAACTATCACACAAGTATCCCCACCCCCCGCCCATCTTGCAGGCTCACAGTTGTAGCCTGTCCTTTCTATAACCCCCTCCCAAACAGGGAGTAAGCTTGGTCCTATTTCAAAAAGCCAAAACCAATATAAACACTGTATAAAGAGTTGTCGTCCAGAACTTTTTTTGCTAGATTAACTCATAGGAAGTTCCTTGAAAATGAATGTAAACTGTAAACCATTTACATTGTCCTTTGAAGAATCATGGTCAACTTGTATATAAGAAAGATTTTCAATAACATTGCTTATACATAGTATCAAATGACATTGTCTAAAACAGTATTGTGATGACCTTATACTGTAATAACTCTCCTGGCATTGTTTGAGCTCTCTCTCTACCAGGTTTTCCAGTAGAACTATAGACCTGGCCACAGAGTCTGATCTTGTAAGGTGCTGAGAGTTCTCATCGAACAACTCACATTTATTATCTGAATAAATTGAGGATTCTCAGCATCTTGCATGATCACATTTTGGGGAGGGATTTATTGCAATTACAAATGTGAAAAATAAAGAGCAATTACAATTAATGATCTTAACAGATCTCCTAAGAGAACACAATATCTTATGCAGGGCTTCCCCCCTCCGCTGTGGGTGGTAATTTAAAATGCTCTAATGTAGTATGCTGCTACTTAAGTTTTGGAAGGTAAGACTTCAGCATCTGCTTCCAGTCTGAAGAACCTTTGCAACGGTTTTTTTGGAGAGAGAGAAATTTTCAAAGTATTACTCTTTTCTTTCTGATTGGAGTTACTAGATAAACTTGCTTTTCAGGGTTTTACAAAATCATTTGTTTGAAAAACTGTTGTATTTAATCTGGAGTTTTTCCCCAAGTCCTGAGAGCTTTGGTTGAACTGCCAACAGTAGGAGAACTGTTCAGATAGCTGGAGAATGAAACCTGCTGGCCCTAAGTGCCTCAGGACATTAAAGCCATTTGTACTTAAAATTTGTTAATTTCTGTTGTACTTGGATGAGAATTTGGCATGTTTTAGGATCCTGTGGCTAACAAATTCCAGTTACAGAATTATAGTTCAGGTATGACATTATTTGGAATTTCTAGATAATCAAAACATTCATTTCCAAACCCATTTTTATCATCCCATTTGTATATATTCAAGATTTGATATATTCCCAGGATGTAATCGGATGATCTGTTGTCTCTGCTTTCAAAGTAAAATATATTTTAATAATTCTTATTTAAAAATGTATTCTTCTAACAATCCAATTTTTGGATATAAACTGGTAAAAGGGGGCAAGATATAGCATATATAATTTAAGACAATGGGTATGATGCAGCAAACACTTACTCACATGAGTAAAGTTTTGTATGTGCATATTTCCATTGACCTCATTGCTGAGTCCTTCCCTTCCAAAGCTTCGCTTCAGTGGGACTCCTCATGTGAGTAAAATTATGCACGTGCATAAGTGTTTGCAGAATTAGGCCCAGTATAGTGCTTGTATGTACTACTTGTAAATTTAGAAATTGCCCTATTTATTTACATATATAAATTAATATTCTGCTTTTGGTTTCACAAAGGCACAACGTATAATTGAAAATGGCATAATGCCCTTATTTTTGCAATTTAGGTCGTGACATAATTCAGACAGAAGTCTTAGTTTATCAAATCAATGTCAATGCTGGGTGTTCCTGTTTTAATGTGGAAAATCTGTCCAAGATTGCATGTTCCCTGTTTACTTCATGATTGTCAGTCTTAGTTTCTGTATTTAAATATGTTCCTCTTTTTTTTCTTTCTTTTTAAAGATTCACTGTATACATCAACAGACACTAATAGACTTCATATACTTTGTTTTCAGAACACTAACTGTGTTGTCTCATCTTAAAAATTAAACAGAAAATATATATATTTTGTGGTTAGGGTTAAGATTTTATCATGGGTATATAATGGGATAGCACCAGCATAAAATTATCTTTTTCTGTTCCTTCAGCTTTCTTAACAAAAAGTTTAAACTTACATGTGTCTATTTATACAGTTTTATTTTATGTATTTTGCTCAATTTGACAGTAAATCATTTTATAAAATTTCATTTTTGCTTCTAGTCAGTTTCCCTTTCTGGCTCTCAAGATATCTGTTTGAGTTCGTAACATTTCAGTTGATATTAAGTCTTCTTGTCCTCCCCTTTTTTCATCTTGTTGTAAAAATCTGAATTTTGGATTTAAGTAAGACTTAGGTGGTGATGCCTCTCTTGAACAGTGTAATCTCCAAATTTGTGAAAATGAATGGACTGTATTCGCACATGTTGATATATTTCAATCTTTTGAACAGAATGATGTATTTGATGTGGAACGTTGATTAATGATGCTTAATACTGAATATGATTTTTCATTTTGTTAAAACTTTGTTAAATTTCAGTCCATTGGACTATATTTCATGAGATTATTTTTTTTAATTAGTTCTGTGTAAAATATTCACAGAACTGTTTTGTGATTCTAGTCTGACTTTATAATTAATTTTAAATAGATTAAGCAAATTTAAATTGTTTATTGTTAGTCTTTGATTTTACATGTAAAGAGCAATCATAAGATGGCATTATTTGTAATTTCTTCGCTTTGTATATGTAATATAACAGGATGTTGCTAATTAATTTTAATAAACATGGTAAATATAAATATAATGACTAAGAAGAATATAATCGACCTGAAGAAGAATTCTGTGTAGCTCAAAAGCTTGTCTCTTTCACCAACAGACGTTGGTCGAATAAAAGAGATTACCTCACCTATCTTGTCTCCCTAATAATGTGGGAGCAGCACGGCTACAACAACACTGCAAATAAGAACCACAGTATTCATTGTCCATATACAGTTAGATCCTACTTACCTTACTTGTACTAGTCCTGTTGACGCTCATGAGACTTTTTCTGAGTGAGGAGACTAGAGTTTGGCCCACTGAAGTAGATGACAACTTTTAAGGAATTCAGGGTCCAGTTTAATCACTAAACTGCTTCTGGAAAACTGGATTTTATGGTTGGGGGGTTTTTTTGTTTTTGTTTTTTCACATGATTATTTAGGTTTCAATTTACCATTTTTATTGCCTATTTTTGCAGAAAGTTTGTTTAGTAATTTAAATATTTATAGACATTTCTCTATCATGGGAGATGATCAGAGGTGCAATGGGCAGCTAGGTACCCAACTCCTGTTGAAAGTCACTGGGGGTTCAACACTAAACTCCCATTTGTGCCTTTGAAAATTTTTTCCCATTATGTTTAAGTTGCAATGAAGAAAAATAAGTGTTTGCAAATAGGCTGTTAGCTTTTGTTCAAAACAGCTCACTCATTTAAGATTCACAGATTCATAGATACTAAGGTCAGAAGGGACCATTATGATCATCTAGTCTGACCTCCTGCACAACGCAGGCCACAGAATTTCACCCACCCACTCCTGCGAAAAACCTCTCACCTATGTCTGAGCTATTGAAGTCCTCAAATTGTGGTTTAAAGACTTCAAGGAGCAGAGAATCCTCCAGCAAGTGACCCGTGCCCCATGCTACAGAGGAATGCGAAAAACCTCCAGGGCTTCTTCCAGTCTGCCCTGGAGGAAAATTCCTTCCCAACCCCAAATATGGCGATCAGCTAACCCCTGAGCATATGGGCAAGATTCACCAGCCAGATACTACAGAAAATTCTTTCCTGGGTAACTCAGATCCCACCCCATCTAACATCCCATCACAGGCCATTAGGCCTATTTACCATGAATATTTAATTACCAAAACCATGAACTGCACACAGTATTCCAGGTGAGGTCTCACCAGTACGTTGTATAACAGTACTAAAACCTCCTTATCCCTTATGGAAATACCTCTCCTGATGCATCCCAAGACCGCATTAGTTTTTTTGTAAAATGTGTTCTACTGAAGCAGGTTGTTTGGCATAAAACGTAAAGCATGCAGAAAGGGCTCTCTAGATAGGGGATCAAATCTATGAATAGTACAGAAGGAAGAACCTTAAGACCAGCCAAGTCTGGGGAGATGGTTTGAGCTGAATGTTATCAAAATTGTTAAGTTTTCTGTTAGTTTATCCAAATCCCAGCAAGGGGACATATTTGGATTACACAGTATGTGAACTATGTTTGAGAGCAGGTTGGAATGACAGTGGCTTTTAATATCTACTGCCTTACAATCTTTTTAAAATTCTGAAATGTAAAGCAAGTGAATTACTGAAATATTATTCAGATACATTAAATGCAGAAGAATCTCATTTTAAACTCATGCTAAGGTTAACTATTGAAAGGCACAGTGGGTCTCTAAGCTATTTGAGATGTTTTTATTTTGAAGAATCATTAATTTTTGCAACAGTCAATGTTTCAAAATGTAATTGTGAGGGACAATAAAGGGTTAAAAACCTAAATTTGTTAGTAAGATTGCAAGAGAGCTGGCTCTATAGGTGCAATTTTAAAAATTGTAATCAGTGCTGCATTTAAACTAAATGTGAGAATGTAATTAACAGCCATCAAATTGTGACTGATTGAATTAAGGAGATTATTTTTTAAAATTACTGTGATTTTCAGAGTGTCATTGAAATACGCAGCAAAATTCTTTGGAGACCAGTGCTAAGCATTTAGGGAAATAACAGGAATGAAGGATGCAAGTAAGTCTGAAGGAGCACAGATATTTGGGGAAGGGCATTGGTGGGAGGACCACAGATGCTTTCTGGCCCCCAACTGCCAATACATTCATTTACACAGCTGTTTACATTTAACAATCTATTTGAAATATTTAATATTCAAAGTCTGGTGCTTTCTCCCACTTATTTCTGCAGAATGAGTCTCGCTCTCATCCTAATTCCTGGGAATGGTAGCTTCCATTGAGTTAGGGCAGAACTGTTCACTGCTATTATAGCAATGAAACTTTTCACAGGTATTTCTTAAGTAATTGTGGATAAGGTACACCTAACCTGAACGTGTATTTCCAGTGTTTTCTTGTAAAATATTATGAATATTTCTAAGTATTTAAAATTCTAGTATACACAATCTCCTCTCTTTCAGGTCTGACCCTACTCAGAGACATCACAACTCCAGAGAGAAAACTTGAGGAGACAGGAATATGCCCCAGTCCACCCAGATATAGTATTTGTCCGCCAGTACCAACAGCTCCAACAGTTGAACTGGACCCTACCTTCTCCTCTGCCAAGTTAGAGGCTCCAGACGGAGCATCTCCTCAACACAGGGAGGCTAGCCCAGGTGATATGACTAATCAAGGGACAAATGGTACCCAATGCCATGGAGTCCCCCTCCACCATTTGACCCTTCATAGTGGGATTATCCCTGTGCTAGACTCTCTGGACCATGCATTCATCCTACCCACCCTTGCTGTCTCCATCAGACTACAAGGGAGAAGGAATTGAGCCAGATCTGATGATTCTGATGGATTTATTCTCACCAGATGAGGTGGTTGCCCCGTCTTTGCCATCCCCACCTGATGACCACAAGCAGTATCTCAGGAGCCAAGACCAGAGCTCCACATCCAACCCAAGGAGGGACAGGATACTCAGCACGGGCTCCTGGACATTCTGCAGCGTTCTGTTCCTGTTTGGGTGGCCCTTCCTGTCAACGGGGCCATTATGTAACCAGCCAGGTTAGTTTGGCATACTCCTGCTTCCTGCACCACTGCTCTAAAAAGGACTTGGAGGCGTTATGTACCAGCCAAGGAAGTGGATTTTCCGTTTACACACCCAGCACCCAACTTCCTGGTGGTACAAGCAACCACTGAGATCTAGGCTAGAGCATCCCAAGACAACACCCACTAGTAAGGGTGCTAAATGCCTTGACTGCTTAGGCAGGGAAGCTATTTTCTTTCACTAGACTTCAATTTTGAATTGCTAACTAATAGGCCCTGTTCGCAAAGTATGATTCTTCTTCGGGTGCTTTTTCACGTCAGTTCTAATCAGGTGTGCATTTGTGCACGGTCCTCAGAAAGCTTTCTCTTAGCAGCTCCTGTCGGGTCAGCTGTGGAGCTCCCTGGAGTGGCGCCTTCATGGCACTCAATATATGACCCTGCTGACCTGCGCCCCCTTCAGCTTCTTCTTACTGTCGGAACAGTGCTCACTTGCTCAGCAAGTGCTCCCTTAACGTTCTCCTGTTAGTCATTCAAGTTTCAAGTTAGTGTTATAGTTAATTTAGTACATAGTTGTATAGACAGTTTAGATACTAGGTTGGGAGCGGGATCTTCCCCAATCCCTAACCCCCCCACCCCTTGGGCTCTGGGGCATGCCACGAGCCCAAGGCTTTAAGCCCTGCAGTGCTTGCAATAAGCCTATGCCCATCAGTGATACCCCATGACTCTTGCTTAAAGTGTCTGGGGGAGGCGCACCAAACGGAGAGGTGCAAAATCTGCAGGGCTTTTTGGCCAAGAACCAAGAAAGAATGTGATTTCTGCCTAAAACAACTTTAAATGGAATTGCTCTCCGCCCAGAGTCGGCTGCGGCTTGTCAGGATCCGGCACAGAATGTGTCTGTACGTAGTGCTCCGGCATCCGTATGTGGCACAGTGCCAAGGAAGGACTCTAGCACAAGAGATGCTCCCTGGCACTGCAGCCAGGAATAGCGGCCCGGCACCACTCAATTTCCCCGTCGCTTCACAAGCGACACAAGAAGGGTGAAAGGGGGCGCTCACCGGCCCCAAAAGCTACGGGAGCGTCAGGGGATGCATGGGTGCACCCCAGAAAGGACCGAGCACCAAGTGAGCACAAGTCGGTGCTGTTGACTTCGGTGCCTCAGAGGGGACTGTTGAGTCTGGCATGTAGCGACTCTCTAGCAGGGCAGTGCCAGGTGGAGGTGTTAGAGCCACCCTCTACTCTGGACACTTTTGAAGCCGCCAGAGACCTGATTGAGATATAGTGGCACAGCCCCCAGTTCTCAGAGACAAGCCTCCAGTGTCTATAAGACTGGTACGTCTAGAAGCAAGCCCACTATGATGCAGCGCTCACAGTCCCCGGCTCGGCACCATACCTGGCACCGCTCTCAGTCACCTTTGCTGCGGCATCGCTCCCCGGCACCAAGCCCCATGAAAGCACCTCTGGCACCGGCGACGCTCCCTCTCCCCAGCAGTGAGGCTGGACCGGCACCGATCTCTGGCATCAACAGAGGACCAGCACTGACCCGCAGCGACGACAGAGGACCGGCACCAGGCCTTCGTCCTCGATCGTCAGCACCAGACACTCGTTACTGGTCTCTGTCGCCAGATCCCAGGTACTGGTCCCCAGCGAGGTTGTCCTGGCACCGGTCCCCCCCCCCCCCCCCATCGCAGCAATGATCGTCGGTGCATGGGCCTTCGCCGCCACTGTGGCCATCGCAATCAGGCTCCGCTTCCTCGGAGTCTGATGCCGTCTTGTACTACTCGAGGGTCAGTTAACATTGGTCCGAGAGGTGACAAAGGAAAGTGCCGCTGACTTGGCAACCATAGTGGCAGCCCCTGGCACAGTGGCCCTTTTAGAACCCCCGGGCTTACCATCAGGCCCAGGGCACCTTTTCAAAGGGGTCAAGATTGGTAGCCTCAGAACACAGGCTGCACCACTCTCCCAGGGATAGGCCCACGCCTTGGGGATCCGAGGCCACTCTGTCCCAACTGCCCCCTCAGGCTCAGGTCGTGGCTTAGGCGACTCAGACACAGGATGACCATAGGGCACATCAGGATCTCCTTAGGCGGATTGCTTGCAACATGGGGTTGCAAGCAGGGGAGGTGGTCGAGGCTGAGGACCCCATGGTGGACATTCTTACTCCTGAAGGCCCATCATGGGTAGCTCTGCCTTTGATCAAGACTGTTCAAAATAACATAAAGACCCTGTGGCAGACCCTGGCCTTGATTCCGCTGGCTGCCAGAGGTGTGGAGCGCAAATACTTTGTCCCTTCTAAGGGATATGAATACTGATTCTCACACCCGCAGCCATGCTCTCTGGTTGTGTCTGCAGTTAACGAGAAAGAGTGTCAGGGTCAGCAAGGGCCAGCCCCCAAGTCTCAGGAGGCAAAAAGGATGGACCTCTTCTGTAGGAAGGTCTATGCCACTGGGGGCCTCCAGCCGAGGATAGCTAACCAGCAAGCTATCCTCAGTAGGTATAACTTCAATTCATGGACTTCCATGCTGAAGTTCAAAGAGCTGATCCTGTGGACTTTAGGGCTGAATTCTCCACCATCGTTGAGATAGGAGCAGTGGAGGAGGTTCCTCAGGAGCTAAGGGGCAAGGAATTCTACTCCTGCTATTTGCTAATCTCCAAAGCAAAGTCAGGGGTCTCAGACCCATTCTAGACCTGCGAGGACTCAACAAGTTCATGGTGAAGTTGAAGCTCCGCATGGTCTCCCTGAGCACTATTATCCCTTCTCTGTTTCTGGGAGACTGGTAGCCCACCCAGGACATGAAAGACTCGTTCTTTCATGTAGCCATTCGGTCTGCACACAGACATTTTCTCCAGTTTGTGGTGGACCACAAACACTATCAGTTCACGGTCCTCCCATTTGGTCTGTCGATAGCCCCCCAAGTATTCGCCAAGTGCATGTTGGTCGTAGCAGCCTTCCTGTGGAGGAGGCAGGTGCAGGCATACCCATACTGAGATGACTGGCTGCTCAGAGGGCGTACCAGGGAGCAGATGGAGTTTCTAGTCCGATTGGTCAGATCCACTTTCGAGAGACTGAGACTCCACCTCAACGTGAACAAGTCAACTTTGTCACTGACCCAAAGAACAGAATTCATCGGCATGGTGCTGGACTCGGTATAGGCAAGGGCATTCCTGCCAGAGAACTGGGAGATCTCCGAACCCAGGGCCTGTGGTCACAGGATGAGCTCTCCCTCCATATCAATATCAGGGAGCTCAGAGCAGTGCAACTAGCATGACAAACTTTCCAGGCCCGGCTGCAATGCCAAAGCATGGCAGTGATGACAGACAACACCACTGCTATGTTTTACATCAACAACCAGGGTGGACCCTGTTCATCCCCCCTATGTTGAGAAGTCCTCCAGCTATGGGAGTTCTGCATAGCCCATTCCATTCATCTGGAGGCATCCTATCTCCCAGGAGTGCAGATCGTTCTGCAAACACGAATGTCCTTCATCCCATCTTCCAAAGGTGGGGGTTTCCCCAGGTCGATCTATTTGCTGCCCCGAGCAACAGGAAGTGCCCAATGTTCTGCTCCTTCCAGAAACACAGCCAGGGTTCAATCACGGATGTGTTTCTGCCACCCTGGGGAGACCACCTCATGTATGCCTTTCAACCAGTCCCGCTCGTGCACAAGGTGCTGCTCAAGATCCACAGGGACAAGGTGGAGGTAATTCTGCTGGCCCCAGTGTGGCCCCGTGAACATTGGTACCCGCTAAATCAACTGCAGATCACTCTCCCGTTGACTCCTGTACTCCACCGGCTCAAGAAGAGTAGGGGGAGTCAATGGGAGAGCATCTCCCGTCGACATCGCATAGTGTGGACCCCGCGGTAAGTAGGTCTAAACTACATCTATTTGAGTTACGCTATTCACGTAACTCAAATTGCGTAGCTTAGATTGAATTTCCCCTGTAGTGTAGACGAGGCCTCAATCTTGGTCTTTTAATACTTAGCAGACCTCCCTATGAACTGGTAGCCACCTGCTCTAGGTCCTACTTCTCCATGAAGGTCACCTTTGTAGTCGCCCTGACGTCAGCCAGAAGGGTGAGTGAACTGGGAGCGCCTAGGGCAGTTCTGACATGCCACATTTCATAAGGAGGAGGTTTCCCTTCATTTTCATCTGAAATTCATTCCTAAGGTAACTGAATTTCCCACGAATCAACCTATTCACTTATGTGTATTCTTTCTTAGCACTTCAGACTTCCGATGAGGAGAAAAGACTTGACTCTCTCATCATCTGACGGGCTTTGGCATTCTATCCGCAGAGGATGAAACCCAGTAGGAAAATGCATAGATTATTTGTTGCTTTATTCGCACAATCAAAAGGACAAGCATTTTCTGCTCAGAGACTCTCTAAGTGGATCTCCAGTTGGATCATTCTTTATTAGCTACTGCATATTCCTCCCCTGGATGGAGTGAGAGCCCACTCCACTACAACACAAACAACTTTGTGCTCTTCAAGATGTACCTATACTGAACAAAGTACTGTCATGAAATATTGCATTAGTCCAGACCTCTTCTGCAGATGCAGCTGTGGGGACAGCAGTATGCTGACATCTATACCAATTGCTTTCTTGCACCCCACATCCTGTTTGACTACTGCTTATTAATTACCCATATGTAAAATGCACATAGAGACTAGCACTTGAAGAAGAAATGAAGGTTTACTTACCTGGAGGTTCTTAGAGATGTGTGGTCCCTATCTGTATTCCACTACCTGCCCTTCTTCCCCTCTGCTGCAGATCATGACAGGATTGGTGGTAAGAAGGAACTGGAAAGGCATTGGTCAACACCACCCCTTATATGCTTGGATCAGAGCACGAGGAGAACAACTGCAAAGTCCAAAGGACACTACTTGTTAGAAATCTCCAATCTCAGGCATATGGTGCTCAGGCATAGCTGCATGTGGAATACAGATAGCGATTGCACATCTAGAAGAACCTCCAGTTACAGGTAAGAAACCTCCATTTAATTATCAGTCTGTAGTTCATGGGTTTAGATATGTTTTAATTCCTACTTAATGCCTTCCAAATGAAGTTCAAAATGTGATGTTCATTTATTCCAGATGATTCTGGAGGTTGGGAGAAAAGTTCACAAATACTCAGTTTGGCATATTTCTCTTAGTTATATTTGTAATTTTTTTGTTTTGGGCCTGATCCAAAGCCCATTGGACACAATGGCAAGACTTCCATTGACCTCAGTGGTGTTGAATAAGGCCCTTTTAAAATAAAATACTTTAAAGATTTTCTTTGTATTATACAGTAGGTCTGACAGTAATGTAGGGCCAAAAGTAGTCAACAAAAATAAGTACTGCAATCCTGCATTTTTGGACAAAGATCATGTAGTTACTGCCAACATTCCCAGTATATTTCCATTATCCTTGCCCACTAGTTTTCCAAGAGGATACCAAACCATATAACTGCTAGTTTTTAAAATTGTTTTTATTTATACTGTAACCAGAAGAAGGGGAAATGTTTGCATGATCTGCTACATTTGAAATATAACTGTAGGAGGTTAACACTAAAACATGATTACCATTTGCTAATAACATATACTAAGCTTCAACCCAAAAGGAAATGATTTTGCCCTGACTGGAAACTTGAACTAAAGCAGTGAAATATATCACCATAGTACTAGAGTAAAGACTATTTAAAGGAAAATATGTTACTTTTTGGGGCATGCAAACTCATGGTTGCCACACGTGGACTACATATAAGGCCAGCCTATCCAACATGTGCAAGACTAAATCCTCCAAATCTCTAAACCCCCTTAGATTGTGTAACTGCAGAGCTACTGGGGGTTTATGTGGAAACCCAACATGGCTGCAACTCATGATTCTAAGCCTGACTCTTCTACCCCAACTCTCCCATTGTGTACAGGATTAACCCATATATCCAACCAGGGCTAGGTGCTGAACAGTTTTGTGTTTACATACATCTTGCATTTCTGTGGTGCAGGCTTTTCCACACCAGATTATTGAAGAAATAGTTGGGTGCCTTGGGTGCCCATTTGTTCTTGTACCTGTTCAATGTGAAATGGTTCCAATCTCCTTTTCTTCATTTACTGTTTTTATTATTATTTTTGATTCGGGGGGAGGGGGGAAGGTAGAGGGACCAATTGGTCAAATGGGCCTAACCTCTTCTCCTTTTAGCACAGTTCCATTGATGGAGCTGAAATATGGATAAATGACTTTATTCCATGTATCTCCTTTAAACATTTCCATGGGTAGTCTGAAAATCCATCTGACAGAGAACAAACCTTGCCACCATTCCCCTGCAGTTCAGATTGTTGAGAACACCTCAGAATCCCTCAAAATCTTCTCCATGAACCTAGTTGCCATAATACATGTCACATGACCCTGGGAAGAGGACAGACCTCTGTGGTTCCATAAGGCCAAAATTAGCATTGTTTAGCTGCCTGTGGTGAGGAAACACCCCATTATAATAGAGAATGTTCTCCACAGCCACGGAGCAGAAAGATACAGTGGCATTCCTTGCAAGAGGATGTGGATATTCCCAATTTAAACAAAGATGGTGTCAAAATTAAAGTAAGGTAAGGTAATTAAAGTAAGGTATGATCAGTGCTGTTGATACTACTGTGTGAATGTTATGCATCAGAGGCATTTGCATTGCCTATATAAGGAGCTAAGGAGAGTACTTGTTTTTAAATGCTTGGACATGTCCCTTAAAGTAGTCTGTGTAGAAAATACAATGATAAGATGGTTGGGGTACATTGGGAACATGTAATGTACCAAGAATGATAAGGTAAGTGAAAATCTTCTGCCTTCTGAGGGTAACACTGCTTTATACTGACCTAGCCTATAACAGGAGTAACGACAGGATCTGGAGGCATGGATAACTTGGTTAGTGACTGTCAAAACAGATTGTAATTACTGGAAATCCAAGTTTACTAAAAATGTATACATGTACCTGTAAACATTTCACAATTAAAAGGAGTGTCTTGAATGTATACAGATTTAGTCTGTGTATTTAAGTTAAACCATGTCCTTCCACAAATTAACTAACAAACAAAAAACTCACCTTCCCTCTTCACAAAATGATTGTGACTGAATCTAGAAGACCATTCAAAATGAGTTGGTGTAACTTTTTATAACAAACTAGTTTAAAAATGTTTCTTCATAGAAAATGTTACAAAGGAATCTAGTTCTGTCTTAATATTGAATGGAGGTTCAAACATTTTGGGCAGGAAATTGGACTAACTGTGAGCTGAAAATGGAAATTTGTTCCCATAGGGACAACAATGCATTAGTCAGGGCCCCATGTGTTCCATGAACCCACAACTGTGGAATTAGCCAAATAATTCAGCCCTTTCAGCAGAATGTGTTCCAGAATCCTTTCATTTAAAAAACATTGTTTCTAGCAAAGATAACTTTTAAAATGTGAATCTAATGTAAACTGATGTGGTGGCATCTTCATGAGCTTGCAGACAGCCTGAAACAATAGTTCTGATATGTTAACTGCCACATTTAACTCAGTCAGGCCCCTATGGACTCTATTCTGCAGCTATGGATTCTGGCATTTTTCCAAGATGCTACACAGTACAGCACTTTTGCTGTGGAATTTGCCATTTGCACCTGATGTTTTTGTTTTGTTTCCCTGTCCATTTTGGGACCTGCTTATAGCTGCCTCTTGCTGTCCAGCTTTTCCCATGTGGAGGAGTTAATTGGTTTACAACGCATGCTTCCAGGACAGTTCCAGGGAGCCAATCAGCTGAAGATGGGGGAGCCAGAACTGTAGTCCTGCTTGCAGCTAGGGAATGGAGTGAACCAAAAGCATAGACTAGGCTGCTGTAGAATACCACAGTGGCCAGGGCACAGAGATCTACGGAGAAGAGACAGTGGAGATGCCTTCAAGTCCCCCACTTCTCTGGTACACGGTGGGTGGGGAGAAAGAAGTTCTGAGTGGGTCTGCCTGGACACTAGCTGTGCAGAACATACTGAAAATAAACATCCAAAACCTATAGTATTTGTAAGGGTGGCAGAATGGGGAGAGAGGAAATTGTACAAAATTTGTCACAGAATGTAAATATTTGCTGCAGAATTTGGTCCATCCTATCACAGAAAACAGTAAGCCCCTGTCTCTACTAATTTTACTGTACATAAAATATTTTGTTACTGCTGCACATGGATTTTCCTACATCTGTTCTAACTTGTTTTTAGTATATTAAAATATTACAAGCAAATGTGGCTGTCTGTAATGCTGTAGTGTTTAAACGTGTAAATTTTAATAAGTTGTGCACTAGGAACAACTTGTGATACATAAGCTGTTGCAGAAGGCAACAGAAGTGGTGTGAGGAAAACAGAAATACTTCTAATAAATGCAAGCAGAAAATTATTTTCGGTTTACTAAGGTTTTGTCTACATGGGGAGCTATTTCAGAATAGCTAACCTGGTCAATTTACCCATGAAGACAAGTCCTAGATTTTATGTTTTTCTTCTTCAAATGGTAATGAATAGTGGTTAAAGGCAATGGCTCTTATGTTTCCCTCCATTTCTACCTGCAGCATGTTCTCCTCACCTCCTCCAGGGGGAGAAGCCCCTCCACATTCAGACCACAGAATTTGGCCTACGTGAAATAGTGGGTGGAAGGGTGGAACTTAGCGCTGCTGCTCCGCACCAGGCCATTACGAATAGCTTAGCACGAGTTAATGCTACTCCAAATTACTTCACAGTCATAGCCAGAAGCAGCCAGTGGCTTTTGGGAGTCATGCTGTTATGTTGTGCTTGTGTGAGCTGAGGGGCAATATGAACACTGGACTCCCTGGCCTGAGTTTCACAGAACTTTCTGGACTTTTTGTATTTGAAGACCCTGTACAGTCCACTGAACCAATCCTTTCTGAGAGGACCATGCAAAAGGAAACTCCACCAGATGAACCTCATGGCATACCCTGGTCCCATTCTTGCCCTCCTATGTTGGAGAGGGCTTGATATGATTAACAGCCCTAATTTAACATACTAATGCCTCATGGTGCTGCTGTAAAAAAAAATCTTGGCTTAGGGGAGAGGGAGCCTTTCAACACAAGCTTTCCAGTGTGGCTCAGTCCCAGGTCAGTAGGTATACGAAATTAACTGATATCAGTTTGGTGATCTATGTGAAACGAGTTGTTGGTCTTATTCCAGTTTCTTGTGGGCAAGTGGCTACAGTACTGGTCATACCTTGGCTGGCTGTGTTAGCAGAAAGGCCATGATAGACTGGGCCATGGGGACTGAACTATTGTCTTGCCATCAGAGGTTGTCAAGATGAAATTCTATGGCAGGGCAAGGTGGGGAGATTTTCACTGATCCCACCATACCTGTTCTATGAATAGTTGCCTGTATGCTGCATGCATTTTGCGGCTGGATAGGTCAGTTTCCCATTTGGAGCAGAAATCTGTGACTCCTTCAGTTTATTTTCTTAGTTTGTTTTTATATAAAATGTATGTGAGTCCTGTTTCCTTGAAGGGGGTGGTCGCAACAGCACCAAGTTGTTCCATGTTGCAGAAACCTCTGGTAAGGCCCCTCTGCCCATCTCTCAGGGCCTGGTCTACATACATAATTGCACTGGTTTCAATGAAGATGCAATATTAGATCAATTTAGTCAAACAAGTTCAATTTTGTGTGGACATACTTATATGGGTTTAGCTTGCCCCTCTAAATAACTTATGTAGACAAGCAGAAGTTATTTATATCTAGTATACAGACAAGCCCCAGGACTAGCACACAACTCAACCAAATCAGCTACTTAACTACAGTCTGTGCCCCTGTTCACACACCCCTTTCCACCCACAACCCCTGCACTTTGTCTTTGAAAAGCCTAGTCCACAGTGCACTTCAGACGAAATGGTCTGGAATGGTGGTCTGGCTATTAGTTCTCCCTTTGTACAGCTGTTCTGCAATATAAAGGAAGCTCATATAGGTCTAGCAGCCCAGACAAAAAGAGTGCTTTAACCCATGCAATACCCTTAACAGCTCTTTGAAGGTGGTTACTGTATGGCACCTTTAGCACCTTCTATAGAGTTTTGTCCTGGGTGCCGATATATTAGTGACTCCTAATGTGCCAGCCATCACCACTTTTGCCATAAATGGGTGAATAAAGAATTTCAGTTTTCACTGCTGTCACTGATGTTTTTCAACAGCACTAAATTCACTTCTAAAATAGATAAAATACACCCTAGAAAATGCTCTTTTTCGTCTTCCCTATTTTGAATATCCATGCCAACAGACGATTCTTTGAAACCAACTTATCAATCGTATAGCTGTATCAGCTGCTATCTTTCATGGATTACCCTTTTTACACAAGGAGAGTCTTGCATCAAATGAAATTTCAAAAGACACTAAAAATCATGGACTGAATAGAGACACTGGATTCATGACTTACTACAACAATCTGTAACCCACTAACCCCCTCGTTTTGTCTTATGACTGCAGAGGTGTTTTTCTTCAAATGGTAATGAATAGTGGTTAAAGGCAATAGCTCTTATGTTTCCCTCCATTTCTACCTGCAGCATGTTATCCTCACCTTCTCCAGGGGAACCTGCAGAAGCCCCTCCACATTCAGACCACAGAAGTTGGCCCAAGTGAAATAATGGGCTATTCTACCTTGAATGGTCCCTGTGATGGAGTGTACCAGGCCCTCTGAGACCCCCTGCTAGACGCCTTGCAGTTACCACACCCTGCTCCAGAAAAGGAGCAGTGAAAGTGAGTCTTCCAGGACTGCCTAGAAAGGCCGTAGGGAAGAAGCCAATCAGAGTGCAGCAGGCTCAGTTGAAAGGTGCTGCAAGGCCTGCGCAGATCAGTTCCTGACTAGGACCGGAAGGGTGATGAAGTCCTGGAAGATAGATTGGGGAGGGGGAGCGGGAGCTCTGCTCTGCTCTGCTCAAGCAGGGATAGGATAGAAAAACTCTCCAGGCAGGGATGCTTGTGGAAGCCCTGTGCAAATAGGGAACAAGACAAATAGAACCCAAGGACTGTAACCTAAGGTAATGGGTGAAGGTGATGGGACCGAGTGGGAAGTGGCCCAGGGAACAGCAGCAATTAAGTAAAGGCAAGCAGTACAAGGTGGCTGTCTATAGGGTTCCTGGGTTGGGAGCCGGAGTAGTTAGTGGGCCTGTGCCACTGCCCCTTCCCCCTCCCCCCCACCGACCCAGACACTGGGAGAAGTGGCCTAAGCCACAAGAAGGGGATAGGACTTGGTATTAAAAGCCTGAGAAAGTGACTAGAGTTTAAACAGGCCTCGTTCCTGGAGAGGGCCAATCATTTATTGAAGTTCCTGGAAAGGGCCAGCCATTTATTGAAATTTGTTACCCTGGAATGGGAATGATGTTAAGAAGTAACCTGGCTGGAGAGCTCAGACACCACAGAATTGCTAACGTCAAAGAACTGTGAGGGAGAAGGCACTGCGTGGGTAGTGCTCTATAGCATGCTGGGAGAGACTTAAAGCTAATCCAGAAGGGCTGAGAGTTGAGCCCAGAGGCAGGGACACAGATACCAACAAGGGCACAGCGATAGCCTTGTTAGATAGTCCTTGTAATTTTCACTCCATGTATCTGAAAAAGAGGTGTTTTTACCCATGAAACTTATGCCCAAATAAATCTGTTAGTGTTTGAAGTGCCACCGGACTCCTCGTTGTTCTTGTTAGACCTCTGTTACCCCAGAAAGAGTTCATCCATTTTAGACTATGTGCTACTTCGCTGTAGGGCTGAGCCACTGATGATCCTGCTGACAAGGGCAACAGTCAACGGGGTGGGGTGAGGGAGTAGCGTGAAAGAAAGTGAAGCAGGTTCACACCCAGCTGATGGGAGGCACTCACAAGAGGTGAGTGTGCCCCATCACAGTCCCTTACAATATGTGCTAACTACTTATGCTGAACAATCTGTTCCACCTTGCATTGTGTTGAGATGCCGGGATTACCTTTCCCAGAACTGGAGAAGAGCTCTGTGTGGCTTTAAAGAAGTTGTCCAATAAAAGATAT